AATATATGTATTTTTACACTTATACATTATTGGTATATGTGGAAACACCTCATTTTAAAATGGGTATATTATATGGTAATTTATGTAGATTTATTATAATATTATTGACTGGCCATGCATTTGTTCACTGCAGACCAGAATGCTTCCCTGTCTTCCTGTCACTAGTCCCTGTCATTCTTGGAGATTTGCACCCAGCACCTTGGCTTCTTTGATCCTGGATTGGTTCTCTCCACCTCAGTCACCAACTTTGACCTTTCTGTGGCCAATAACTTGGACTGTCTCCAAAATCTGTACTTCAAGCATTCATCTGTTGACCGATATCTTCCGTGCTTCCAGTAATCCTTTGAATTCCAGCAGTCCTTCAAATTTATTTGGACCTTTAATTTGTTGAGCTCTCCGTCCCTCAAACCCAAACCTGGACAGCTAATTAATGTGGAGAAGCAATACTCAAGCATGTCAGCTAGCTCCTTTTTGAATTCATGGTCATGCCCTGGCTGGTGTGGCTCAGTTGGTTGGAGCATCCTCTGTATACCAAAAGGGTTGGGATTTGATACCCTGTCAGGGCACATACTTAGGCTGCATCTTTAAGCCCCAGTTGGGGCGTGTATAGAAGGCAGCCAATTGATGTTTCTCTCTCACATTGGTGTTTCTCTCTCTCATTTTCCCCCTCCCTCTCTCTAAAATCAATTAACATTTAAAATAAAAAAATTTATGGTCACTACACTATAACTCTACTTGATTTTGTTGATATATTAGTTTTCCTCTTCCCTATAGTGACTATTTTACTTCTTTTCCTCTCTCCTAAATCCTTCTCCCCGTATGTTTTGATCTGATGATCACGCCTCCTTATCATGCTTAATAAAGATAAGCAATAAAGGAGGAACCCTCTCCTCATTTTCTCCCCATTCCCTCAAACTTGTAACCACAGTCTCCACTTTACTCCTGTTTCTGTGAATGAAGAGTTCCTGACTGAATTGAACACCAGCCTCTCCTAGTGTGCCCTGGCCCATCCCCTATCAGCTCCGGGACGTGGTTCCAGCGGTGGTTTGATGGCTATAAACTTGGACCCTGGAGTTGACTGCCAGAGTGTGAATCTCAGCTCTGTCGCCTGGTAGGTGTATGAGCTTAGGAAAGTTTTGTAGCTTCTTTGTACCCTAGTTGCCCCTCTATACAATGTGGGTATTAATGTAATCTATCTCACAGAGTTGTCGTGCAGATTAGGGGACTGAATTTAGCAAAATGCTTAGGACAGGGCGAGGCTCCCAGTGAGGGCTGTGTCTGCGTTGGCTGCGTCTCACGTGGCCGGCCTCTCTCCTGTATGTGGCCCTTCAGCTTGCGGATAGGGCCTAGTAATTTCATTTCTTGAACAAATAGCCAAAAATAAAAACCCCCACAAAAAAAACAGACAGACAAAAAACCCCCAATCCTTCCCTTCCCTTCCCATTTCCCAGCCTCCTACTGCCACTTCATTTCTCTGCTCACAACAAAGCTTCTTGATTCCATCCACTTCTCTTAGCCTTTAATCCTCTTTCTTTCCAAACCTCTCTCATCTGGATTGCTGCAAGGGTTTCCGGATACACACACTGTAAATCAGATAATGTCACTGAACTCTTTAGAAACCTCTCCCAGGAGTAAAACTCATGCTCTTATTCTGGCATACAAAGATCAGTATTGGTTAGATGTAGCCATAGTGATACTGAGGAACAAACCACCCTAAAAACTCTGGCACAAAACAACTCTTTCTCCTGGATCTGCTAGTCAGCTGGCTTCCTCCCATTGCCTGCAGGTCGGTGGGAGGCTGCCTGACCTAGGCTTTGTGGGCTGGACAGCTCTGCTATGCACTGCAGGAGGGCCTGGGGCCATGCTGCTCATTCTCAGGTGTCTCTCATTCTCCTCTTGGGACCAGTTACCAGCAGGCAGTAGAAGAGCACAAGAGGGCATGCCCTGGCATTTGAACGCAGTTGTTGTGGCACGTCTGCTGACGTCTAATGCAGTGACCAAAAGTTCATGGCAAACCAAAGTCCAGGAGCAGGGAAATATATTTCTTCTTTTGTGAGAGGAATTGCAAAGTGGCATGTCAAAGGACATATGTATATGTGTATACATGCATGGAGGGGTAGGACTGGGGTATTCAATGTATTACACCACTCTCTGACGTCTTACACCAGTTACCTCCTTACCCATGGTGCTCTAGCTGCATGGGGGCCTTCTCTCTGCTCCTTGAACACAACAAATTCCTTCCCTTTCTTAGGACTTTTTGTACTACATGAGACAATGCTGTAAATTTACTGGTAGCTGTAGCACTAAAGTTTGCTTTCCAGAGTATTCCAGTGTCATGACAGCTATTCCTTTTTTTCTTCCCTTTTTAGCCCATTATTTTATTTTTCATGATCATGAGAGCACTCATTGACTTTTGGATAGGTCCAAAAGCCTTTAGATTCACCATCAAATCAATAAAACACTTTTATTTTCCTCTAATACTGTGAAATCTGCCAAAAGATGACAACAAATTAATTTGCTGTACATTTGCTCGATAGGAATAATGGGCAGTGGGCAGAACACTATGAAGAAAAAACAAGTTTAATGGAACTTTAGAATTTGGGAGTTGAGATGACTTAGATTTTGTGAGCTTCTTAATTTAATAGATGCTATTTCCTAATCATTTGTAAGCTAATTTTGGTTTTCTTTATTCACATTACAACATACCAGTGGTCAGCTGGGTGTCCATCTTTCTCGAGCACACCAGGCATGTGTAGAGTAATCTGAGACTCTGGAGGAGCAGGGTCTGCAAAGATGGAGGCTCAAATATAACGTGTATGTCTTGGGTTAGGGGTTGGCCCATGAGGCACGTCAACCCCAGGTTCAGTGGGTGAAAGGGACCAGTGGAGAGAGAATTCAAGGCATTGTCCTTTCTGCTTCTGAGAGAAGAAGGTAAGGAGAGGGTTTTGAGATCTGAGGGACAAGACATGCTGCTTCCTTACCCTGCTGGCTTAGGGAGAGCGGGCAAGAATGATTCTCCTGGTGGAGCAAAGAGGAGACTTTCCAGCAGTGCTCAATGGACCCAAGGGAGTGTGGCTTCTGTGCCTCTGTGAAGCGTATCATCCTCCTGACTGATTAACCTGACAGTAGCTACATGGCCGAGGGCTTTCAGCAGGTCATATACTATAATAAATGCTTTCTACCTGAACTCATGTAACCTGCACAATTTACCTATGACTGTGGCAGAAGCGGTGAGCATTGTTGACATGTGGGGCAGGAAAGACACGGGAGGCCACCCCAGGCCCCTGTTGGAGACCAAAGGGCACTAACTCCCTGAAAGCTATGGCTGAGTTTTATCAACTAGGGGCCCATGTTGTTTATTTGCATTTATCCACCCAGTGTTCACCTGGAGCAGTCACCTGCCTCTCACTCTGTAACATTCCTATCACTATCCAGGGACACAGCTGTACTCTTGCCTAGTTCCATGTCCTCAGATCAGATAGGCAAGCTTATGTCTCACTACAGCCTTGTCCTGCCAGTCATCTCCTCTCTGGCCTCACCCATTCCATTCCTGGGACTGGAAGAGAGTACAAGGAACTAAGGTGGATGAAGCTGGTGGACAGGAGAGCAGCTTGGAAGGGGCCTTGGTGAGGCTTGAGTCACCCTTTGCTACCAGTCCGACTGGCTGATGTGGAAGACCAGAAATAGCAGCAGTTAACGCTGATGAGTAGTTCTACTTAAATGTTCTGTAGCAACCCCCATCTTGCGCCAAGAGTTGTTGACAGGATCAAATGAAATGATGCAGATGAGTCTATTTTGTAAACTATAGTCCTAGGTGTAGGGTACTTTTAGTGCTTTTGAAAGACTGTCTCTCCTTGTGAAAGATTGTTCATCCCCACCCTATTGATGCCAGGCTTGGCCATGTGACTTGCTTTAGCCAATACCATGTGAGTAGATGGGTGCATTTCCGGGCAGATGCTTGAAGAGCCAGCACAGGGTTCTCTGTGTTCTCTGCTTCCTGCCCTGTTTGTGTCAGCTTAGGTCTCCGGTAGCTTCTGTAGCTTAGGTTTCCGGTAGCTAAGCAGGCAAAGCCCATTGCTGACCCAGGATGGATATACACATGAGTGAAAATAAAATGTTATTTTAAACTGCTCAGAGTCGTCAGGTTGTTTGATATTGCAGAATAGCCTGGCCTACCTCAACTGATACAAAGTTAAACCCTGGAAGTCTAGGATGTTTCTGGAAATTAGGATTCAGTTGTGAAATGGAATGCTACTATCAATAACTAAGATTGAAACACTTGGGAAAAAGTCCTTGGTTTTAGGTTAAAAAGGAGAGGAAGTTGCCTTTTTACTCCTCGTTGCATCTTTAGTTTTTCTCCATGTCTTGTGGTTTGGCATACACATATCCTGGTGTGCAGAAAATGTAATACTGTGTATTTATTTTTACCTTTTCTTTATCTTAGGTGCACACACTTGGTTTCATATTAGTGTTAGGGGACATGGCCAAACTGACTATTGCCTTTAAAAAATCACTTTAGACATTTGTCCTCCATTATCTTTTTATGAAGTGTTATGCAATTTGTTGAAAAAATACCATCTATGAAATAGCTTGTTCGAAGAACAGTTAACAGTATCACCTCAGTTTCTATAATAAAAATCACTCAATTTAAAAATTAATAAGTAAATCCATTTAAAAAGTTTATTTTTTAAAATTAAGCACTCCTGAAGCTATCACTCACTTAGTTTTTAAGTGAAAATAAGAATGCTTTAAAAACATTACTGCCATTTAAATTAATTTCATGAAATAACTATGTTTTAAAACAAATCCAATTCTGTAAATTGGAAGTATATAAAATTTAAAAAAAAATTATTGTGTGACTTGACCTGAGAAAAATAGTGAATGACTTTCCAAGGTTGCTTCATATATATGTGGTGTATAATCTTTATACGTGTATGTATTTTATATGCATGTGTGTGGAGCGAGAGAGAATGATTCCTCATGTTTTACTTTGTTTTTAGGATTTTTACTGTACTCTTGCACAGAGAATACAGGAACGGTATCAAGAAACACACAGCTTTCTAAGGTATGCATTTCCTGTAAATAATCTTTACAGTTTTAGAGGAAACTCATTGATATTTGATATTTTTGATTTGAAATTCAGGGTGATCCCCTATAAATGTCTACTATGGTGACAGCCAGCAGGGTGTGTTGAGAAGTACATGGGCCTTGAAGACACACGGACCTGGATGTGAATCCCAGTGTTATCACCTATCAGTTATGTGTTGGGCAAGTTAACATACCTCTTCTAGCCTCAGCTTTTTCATCTGTAAAATAGACATAATAGTACATTCGTCAATATTGTAGATTAAATAAGACAGCGTTTTTAATCTTTGGTTTTATCAGGATACCTACAAGAGTGCCTGAGACTTAATACATATTCAACAACATTTCTTGAACAAAGGAATGAGGGAATGATTAGCATAGATGAACATAGTAAAACCGTTACAGAAAGCCCATGAGTTTGCATCTACTTCTGGATCCTTTATTCTCTTCTACGGCTCTGTCTGTTGCAGAAATACAACCAAATCAGGCGGTGCAGTCGTTGTAGAAACCGGACACATTGTCTGTGTGTTTGTACATGTACCTGTGTGCGCCCTTTAGAAGACTGGTCATTTTATGATTTCATAACAAATGCATCCAATGAGGCAAATACATTTTCATGCTTTTAATTTCCATATGATTCATGTATTTACCATAACTGATATCAGACCAGTTGTATATCACACTGCCTAAGAATAAGTGCGTGAATTAAACTGGACAGTAAAACAAGAAGCGGAAACATCTTTAAAAACAAGGGTAATACTCATCAAGAAGCTGAGAGCTATATAGCTTAAAAGCAGCTCAATTGATTTTTTAATTTCATTTAGTTTTGGTTTTGTATAGCAGTAGCCTGATAGCTCATCTATGTCTCCTGATCTGTTGTCCTCACTATCCCTCAGATTTTCTATTAATATACTATATTTTAAAACAGTGAAGAGCTGACTTCACTTTGCATCCACTTACGTACAGTGAAGGCTCAGGAGGATGAGAACTGAGAACTGTGGAGAAAGCCTTTCCAGGCAGCGCGGCCTCCTGCCTGTACTTTGCTTCATTCCTCCCCGTTTCTGAGGACTCGCTTCCTTTGCTGTCTCGGGCATGATTCATCCGTGTTGCCCACAGATGGTGATGTTCTTGGCTGACGAGACGTCTAATCCAGCATTCATATCTTACTGCCGGAGGCTTTCTATGTCCCTCTTCCAAATTCCTGTGAGAAAAAAAAATCTGATTAGGCCAGTCCAGCCTTGGATCAGCTGTCCACTTACCAGCTGTATCCAGAGGGGAGAACAAATGAGGTTTCAGGGCTTACAGCTGGGAAGTGGGAGGAGCGGGACCATTACCTAATGTCCAGCACCTGAGGGCATTTCACAGTCTTCTTTCAAAAATGGAGTTAAAGGATTCCATTTTTAAAAAATCATAGTAACTGAAAATATTGTAAATTATTGTTCTTTAAAACCAGATTTATTTAGTCAGTGACCTCACCTCCCAAAGAACAAAGATAAAATCTAGAGATGTAGAGTGTTATTAAGCCCAATCTCCTAGTAGGAATTATAAATTATGACGTCTCAGAGTTCTAAAGCAAATTCTGAGAAAGAGCTATATCTAGTGCTTACATTATAAGTAATGTCTTGAAGTTCAGTGGAAAGCCAAAACCTGGAAATTATTTAACAACAAAGGAAGAATTATTTCAGAGACTAAGTTGAAACATTATGAAAGACTAACAAATTGATAAAAAAAAATAAACACCAGATGTGCTTGTTAAAGTTGAAAAGGACTGTAGGTCAGGGAAAAGGAGTTTAAAGTAATTTAGCTAAGATGAAAAATCATTCAAACATTCAAACTTAATAGTTTTAAAAAAGGAGATGCTATAATTATTTTAGTTTTAAGAGGCATTATGCAAATAATAAAGAAGTACACCGGGGTTCCTTTGTTACCGGCAAATTCACATGTTGAAGACCTGACCACCCAGTGTGGCTGAATTTAGACCTGGGGCCCCTAATTCAAATCGAATGAGGCCATAAAGGTGGGGCCCTGATCTGATAAGGTCAGTGCCCTCATAAGAAAAGGCACCAGAGAGGCCCCTTGTGCATTCTCTCTCCACGCCCACGTGTGGAGGAAAGGCCGTGGGAGGAGACAGAGAGGAGGTGGCCTTGTGCAAGCCAGGAGCAGAGCCTTCACCAGGAACCGAATCAGCCAGCACCTTGAGTTTGGACTTCTAGTCTCCAGAACTGTGAGGAAACAAATTCCTGTTGTTTACATGACCTGATCTATGGTATTTTGCTATGGCAGATGATGACATCCTTCAAATCCTTTTTGTCATGAAATTTGTTATCCAGATATTATTGTTGTGTTCTCTGTGAGCGTTTCCCAGACCAAAACGAAAACCCTGCACTGTGAGTAAGGAAGCCAGTGTATTTTCTTTAAAATGTGCAAGTGGTGTCAACATCTTTCCGCTGTCAGAGGTAAAGTGCCTCTGCTTGCCCCTGTTGGGTGTGTGGGTGAGGTACAGAGGCCCACAGTTGAGTTAACGCGTATAACTTCAATATATTTTGAAAGTTACATATTAATTTATCTGGAAATGCAATGCAAATCTCAATCCCATAAACCCCAGAGCTGCTTTTCTCAGTTCTGCTAAACTGTTTCTTATCGGAGCCAAAATCTGAGCCTTGGGTTATTTTAAGGCATGTGCACAGTCACAGGGATAAAAGGCCATTGCCAGCACATCTCAACAATCCACAATCCTGTCATATGACTGTCGGGAACAGGGGTTATGCAAGGTAGGCTTGCCGACCAGGAGAGGTAGAGGTCCTTAGACATGGTAAAGAGTGATTTGATCAGAGACTGGAGTGGCCTTAGCCCTAGACTCTTTGTTTATTCGCCGTATATTATCACCCAGCGAGCGAAGTCCAAATTCCCACAGCTTTTCATCAGAGGCCTATGAGCTACTTCTGGCCTGCAGGGTTTTTTGTTTTTTTTGAAAACTTACTAACATTTAAACACTTAAAGATCTCTCATAAAAATCAAGCCTTTTGGCTTCTCTTTTATTTATTTTTTTAAATATATTTTATTGTTTATGCTATTACAGTTGTCTCAATTTCCCTCCACCCTGCACACCCTCTCCCACCCACATTACCCCCCTTTAGTTCATGTCCATGTGTCATAAGTTCTTTAGCTTCTGCATTTCCCATATTATTCTTGCCCTCCCCCTAACTATTTTCTACCTACCATTTATGCTACTTATTCTCTGTACCTTTCCCCCTTTCTCCTCCACTCCCCTGTTGCTAACCCTTCATGTGATCTCCATTTCTGTGGTTCTGTTCCTGTTCTAGTTGTTTGCTAAGTTTCTTTTTGTTTTTGTTTTAGGTGTGGTTGTTAATAATTGTGAGTTTGCTGTCATTTTATTCTACATTTTTTATCTTCTTGTTCTTAGATAAGTCCCTTTAACACTTCTCTAAAAAAAAAAGAAAAAAGAAAAAAGAAAAAACAAAAAACAAAGAGCTGGCTGGGTCAGAATAAAGTATATTCCTCGGAAAAGGCCTCAAGGTCCCCAGTCTCCACCACTCCCTAATGTCTTTTACCTGTCCTATTTTACTCATTCCTATTACTTGTGGGTCATTTGGGATCAGAGACCCTTAAGAAGGTTGCTCTAAACCAACCTTCTCTTTCTCAAAAAGCCTTTGGAGAGCTGTATCAGAACAACAGGCTCAAATACTGAAAATCAGTCAACTTTAGTCATTTCTTCACAAATAAAATATGAAGGAGGGGCTCTATTAGAATGGTTGTTAATGGGTTGAAAAAACAAACAAAATCTCCACCTTGGGGAAATACAAACTCATCCCTGGGCAATTAGACACAGTCTCTGGAAGAAAACTGAATTTTGCAACTTAAAAAGTAGTACTTGCCTTTCTACTTGATACTTGGAAACATCCTAGATTGTATTAAATAAGGCACGAGTAAGCATTGCTGCTCGGCCACTCTGAGGACTCAGTGGTACTGATTCGTGGTGGCGTGGACATGCCTCAGGTGTAAACAAAGGGAGCAGAGGAGTGACTGGATAGGGAATGAAAGGGGAGAGAGAGGTAGGGGAGAAGAATGGAGGAGATCTAAAGGAGAAGGAAAGAAGAGAAAGGAGGGGCATCATGGGGTTCTATTACCAGTTCTTTTAAAACCAGTGTTTGCATTCACTTCTGTTCTGGGCTGTTATTGTTAATTAATCCAGCAGATGGTGCTCTGAAATACCAAATAAACCTCAGTCCTTAATGTAAAAAATTACCTTGCCTGAACTGTCCAGGATTGACAGTTATCAAAACTGGAAAGGATACATGCCTGACTACTCAGGCATATATATATATATATACACATATACATATACATATACATATACATATTCATATACATATACATAATATAACTATGTAAAATGTTTTTATTGGATGCAATTTAGGAGGAAAATTGGAGACATTGAATTTTGTTCTTTTCAGTTTTCTTAAAATTATCTTTATACTTTATAAAGTATAAATTTAAAAAACCAAGAGAATCATGATGAATATTTATTCCAAAAAAATCTATGTGTACATATCCCTCTCCTAGTCTCTTAGGGCTGCAACTGGTCCCTCTTAGAACCATCTGTCCCCACCGTGTGTCTGTGGGATGCTGAGGAAAGTTCAGTGGAGGAGCCAGGTTGTCTGCATTCAGCCTGGGCTCATCAATCATACCCTGGCTCCATTCTCTGCATTTCAGTCTCTGTCTCAGTACACCTCCGTCCTCTGGGGACCCCTCAGCAGCTGAAGTCTGGCTTGTTCACCTAGCACCCTAGCTTTTCTCTCGGCTGCCTCCCAAATAGGTCTGACTCTATTCTCAATCCCATAGCCACTGGAAGTGAATTTAGACTCTTGAAAAAAGTCTCTAATTTGTAGCTCAATATGAATTAAAGGGGAAAAATAAGTGACATGAGGGGAAATATGCATTTGGCATTTAATAGCCATA